CACACAGACAACCCCGTGACAATATGAGTTTTGTACTGCTGTTACACAGCACAAAACGCATAAAAATTTAAGAGTTTTTGGCTCTAATCACCGTTTAATTTTTACTAACTTAAAGTTTCTCAATTCAGTTGAGCTCTTTCATTATTTCAGGAAAATCTTAGTGTCTACCGAGCAACTCCCAAACGAGTGACTGTTTTGATACTCATTTGCCAGCAAATTACACTGTCGCTACGTTTAGCCCACCTCGGATGGAAAGCATGCTGAATTGCTGCACTCAATTTCTGGCATTTTAACAATATCAGCAATCTTGAAGTCTGCTGAATGTTATGCAAGACGAAGATCCCTGTAAATAATCTTTTATCACTGAGCCGATCTACTGCCATTGGAGCTTTTTTGGTTTTGGATTTTTTGAAAACAAAAAGTTACTTTGTTTAACAAACGTTAGCTATTGGGGAAGAGTACAGAAAACAGGCTGCAGCGCAGTTTCAACTGATCAAATCATTGAAGAGTGAAAAGGCCAGTCCATCTTCTTTTGGTTAAATTCCTATCAATGAAACAGTAGCACAGTAGACATTTTAGCATCTCATTTAAGCGGAATCTCCGCACCTCGTGGGAATTCTGAACACCCGCTCGAAGGCACTGATCCGAGGCCCTAAGTGTTTTCTCGTCCCCCAGTCTCTCAATTTTTTGAATAAAGAAGGCCTTGCTTCGTGATTCATGAAACAGTCTGAGAGTACCAAGTGAGCGCTGACCCTGTCAAAAGCATCGTTCAGGTTGTTCATTCGTCGTCGCTCCCTTGCATTCGCTGCTTGACGTCTCATGCGCAGCAGCTGAGGGCTGGGAGTTTTGTACCGCCTTGCGCCGCCCTTACCTCTACGTAAGCAAGCTTCACTTCGTCCCACAGCCTTCCCCTCGCCTTCCGTCTGATCGTCACTGCAAATAATTATTTTCGTCAGATGTTCATAAATGGTAGCCTTAATTCGGCCCACTCCTAGTAGGCGAAAGTACAGCGGATGAATGAGGGGGCATAATTAAGACGATCTACCTAAAATATAATGCTACATCGCCCTTCTTTCTTAGCCAGTGAATCAACACATATTTTTTTCCTTTCCCAGAGTTATAAATCTATATCCAGGCCTCTCAAATTTCGTCTTGCAATTCTGCTTGGACTTAATAAATTTAGGCCCAGTTTTAAATATTTTAACGCTCCTTTGGCCAAGACCGTCTGAATTATACCTTGCCTTTCCCGGTATCAAAACATCGATAAGCCTGCAAGTGAAAGAAAGGAACAGTCCTCTCAAGAATTTCTTTTCAGCCGCCAGTATTGACAGATCAGTTAGTAGTAAATTCCTATAATCGTGGTCGCACATCACGCAATCTCTCCTTAGCAAGATGATTAAATAACTCAATCCATTTCACGAAAAATTCTGAAATCGGCAGTCCTCATCCGCACGGAAAATAATAGACCGGAGGCTGCCACTTACCAGCTCATTCATAAACCGCCCGAACTTTTCGCTGAAGAGCTGCCCTTGCTCTAAAAATATGGGCAATATGCACTGAGGAAGCGCCCAAATGCGAGCGCAGACAGATTTCAAGAGTAATCAAGACAGCTAGCCAAAGAACGCGATTTCACAAAAGTGACCTGACTGGAACGCGGCTGCTAGCAAGAGCCTCAGAACACTCACCTGTGCCTCCAGTAGTAATTCTCATCGAGCGAATAATCAGTATACACGTGCTGGTCGGCAGCACCAGCAGAAGCATAATTAGTGGCACTGGTGGTTTGAGGCTTGTTTGAGGTGCCCGAGGGGTAATGGTGCGACCAGATGCAGGCAGCCGACGACGACGAGCCAGACGTCTCCAGCTTGAGCAGCACGCTCATGCACACTCGCTTCGGAACAGAGTGTCCCCCAGGCAGGTCCAAATCAGTACCGGTTTCTTCAGGAGTCTGGGCGGAGCGGCGAGCGGTTTCTCCGGTACAATATTCGGGTAATGACCCTCACCGGTGCCACGCCTTCGTTCTACAGAGCATCGGGTGTACGGTAGCGCGCCGATGGACCCCGATAGCGCAGTGCACGCGACCGGTGTAATCCATCAATTATTCGTCTTCTTTGTCTTCGAACTACACTTGTCCACAGTGACATTCAGCATAATAGCAGCAGTAATAATGGGAGTAAAGAAAAGCTTCAAAAAACTTGTAAAATTACTGTTATTATTTTTGTCTTCTGACGTCACATGCACTACAGAGGCGTCCAGCAC